GGATAATAGGCCTCATCTTCTCCCTTTAAGATTTGTTACCAGGGCATCATGAAGAAAGGGAGTCATGTTCAACTCCTCTCTCATCCAGTTTAAAACATAACTGAATGAGAAAGTTTGATGGTAATCCCCATCAATCTACTACTCATCATCCATCAGCGGAGCTTTCTATTTTGTTATTGGATGATAGGTGTACAGACTTGGGTTAGAATTTGTGGTATATGATAGTGGTGCTCAATCTTTCCCATGCACCAGGACCACCTGGAGAACTTATTAAAACACATTGCTGGGTGCCACCCGCAAAGGTGCTGACTCAGTGGGTCAGCGGTGAGGCTAGAGGGTTGGCATTTACAAGGTTCAGGAGACGCTGCTGCTGCAGGAACCACACGCTGAGGCCCCCTGGCTTATGATAGTCTAATCACTGGCCCATGCTTGTTTGTTCAGTTGGTCTTGGTAATAGAACCAGATAAAAATTAGGACCTTAACCATCACTTACCTATATCCATGTGCTTCTTTCTATCTCATCTTCCATTTACCCATTCTGAACTCTGTTCATTATTCTCTCACTGTTTGTAAAATTTTTTTAAATACTCCTTATCAGGGTATAGAAGTTCCTTTCCATTCTTAATTTACTGAAACTTTAAATCATGTGTTTGTGTTGAATTTTATCAAATGTTTTGTCTGCACTTATTGAACTATGAAAAATCTTTTCCTTTTAAAGTTATTTTTGCATTCAGGAAGAGTTATAGTTTCTGGGTGTTTTTTTTTAAAAAAAATATATATTTTTTTTATTGATTTCAGAAAGGAAGGGAGAGGGATAGAAATATCAATGATGAGAGAGAATCACTGATGGACTGCCATCTGCACGCCTCGTAGTGGGGTCATGTACCCTGACCGGGAATTGAATCATGACTGCCTGGTTCATAGGTCAAAGTTCAACCACTAAGCCATGCCAGCCAGGCTGGGTGGGCTACTTTTAAGCTTTATTTTTATAAATAATAATTTATCCTTGCATACCTGGGGCAAAGCTACCATGGTCAAGGTGTACTATCTTATTTTTAATACATTGTTGGATTTGACTTAAATGGATATACGAAGAATATGTGCTATGTTTATTCAGTCGTTAACTTATCCTTGGGAACATCACAGCATCCCTTGGGAGATACAAGCACCTTGGTTTGGACTTGTTCAGACTGTCCTAGCACAGGCCTAGAGAATGTTATTTCTGATTGATTTTCATATCTGTGGCCTAGGTGTGGGACTGGGAGAGAATGTGAAGGTAAGAAATGACAGTAGTTGGGGTTTTTCAGATCCTGTTGGATAAGAGGAATAGAGTTCCCGAACCAAAGAAACCTCTGCTCTTCCTTCAAAGAAAGCCAATACCTCAACCTAGGCTTCCAACTCCAACCTTGGAAATGACTTCCAATGTAAGTTTGAAACTTTTCTATTTAAAATGCAAAATTTAACATTGCTGTCCGTTTACTCTTAGGATAGTTTGAGTTAAAAACAAACCTAATTTAACAGTGTTAATTTATGTTGCCTTTATTCTTATTTTCAAACATCAAACACAGTCACAAAAACAAGTAAAATGAGATGAAATGAAATCTAAATCTAATTCTTTGAAAAATAAAACACAAAGAATAAGTTTTCCCAAGAAAAGTAGGCATCAGAAGGTAATCCTTGTGTGTGTCAAATAAAACAAAAAAAGGATTGAATGATGATCAGTTACTATAATTATCTGCCCAATGGGGAGGTGGCTGATGACAGAGAAGAATGGAATGTTAGAAAGTGGCGAGGACAGGCTGAGTTCTGAGGTAGGACTGGCTCCACGGGCCATACCTCACCTTCACAGATCCCAAACTCAGTCTGAGCGCCAGGTGCCTGAGATGGCTAAGACTGACCAGAATAAGCAAACCCACAGCAAACTGCCAGAGATGCCAAAATGCAAATGTATTACTTTATGGGGAGAAATAAAACTGCCTGGTGGATCAGGATGCTCCTCACTGGTAGGTCAGCCCATTATCTCCCCATAGAGGGCAATTCTCACAAGAAGCCAGATTGTGTTCAGGAGGTTACACTTTGTCAGAGGGAGGACAGTGGACAGATCAACTCCCTAGCACCTCTGATGGGCCATCTGTGGAGGGACTGGAATGCCCCCATTGCCTGGCTAGGACGTGGTCTGGACAATACTCCCGTTTTAGACCTTGTGCCACCACTGCCGGTGGTTAACACATCGTCTATCACGTGTTAATGCCATTGATTTTACTGCTGCTTTATTTTGCATTCAGATGCCTTAATTAGATTTTCCCACTCTGCTCTTTCTGTTGGTGTTTATTTTTGTTGTTGTTGTTGTTTTTTATAAATGTATTTATTGATTTTAGTGAGAAAGGAAAGGAGAGGGATAGAGAGATAGAAATATTGATAAAAGAGAGACATCATCTGCTGCCTTCTGCACACGTCCTATCCGGGATCAAGCCTGCAACCCAGGCAAATGCCCTAACTGGGAATTGAACCAGGAACTTCTTGGTTGATGGGTAGATGCCCAACCACGGAGCAACACCAGCTGGGCTGCTCTTTCTGCTTTTGACACATAGTTATTAAAGGTGATTTTTTATAAATGGCTAATCTTGTCTACTATATTCTGATTTTACCAGTTTTGTTAAATTTTTGTGAGAAGTACCTCCCTCTAGACTCTGACCTAGATTAACTGTATCCTTTGTCTACTCATGATCACACATGAAAAAACTATTGCAAAAGGGATGCTATAAATAATACTTTCAGCTTTAAGAATGATTTTGCTGGAAAGAAGTATAGGGAAATGAAAATTGTTTAAGTTATAGGTATAGTATGATAGTGGGTTAATTTTTAAACTTTTTATGTGATTTGTTAATGATATTTATGATGAAAAAATAATAATGAAGTTTAATAATAAAGTAAGTAACATTTAAAATACTATATGTTCAATGAAGGTAGAGACCATTGTTAATTTCTCTGTAAATCCTTCTGACATCTAACACAGTCTCTTTTATTTGATCAAAGTCTTTAAAAAATATTTGATACTGACTGCTGTTCTCAAGCTGCTTGGTTCTCCCTTTGTTCTTTTAGGAAGAAGAAGATATAGAAAAGGCTGTTATCTTCCTTCAGAAGTTACTCCGGGGCAGAGTTATTCAGAACGTGGTGTGTAGGGTCCGACCACTGGCCATGTGCTTCTCCTCTGAAAACAGATTTACAGAATGTGCATGTGCTCGGTTCCTTGGGGTGAACTGCCTTATGGAACTACACTCTTTTTTTTTCTCGTGTGTGTGTGTGTGTGTGTGTGTGTGTGTGTTTAACTTTATTCTTATTGCTTACACTATTACAGATGTCCTCATTCTCTTCCCCCTTTGCCCACTCCACCCAGCCCTCGCCCCACCTTCCCTCTGGCCATCACTGTTGCCTGTGTCTGCGGGTTATGTATATATGTTCTTTGCACCTATACTCTTGAATTACCTACGTATTCCTTTCTACTGCCATAGACTGTCCAGTTGGGTGACACAGTGTCAAGGAGAGGAATAGTCTGCCTGCTGTTAGCTACAGGTGTAGCCAAGATAGTGTGAAAGTGGTGTCCTCCTGGAATGGCTAAATCCGGCAATTTTCTTACCTGACTTTTGATCATTAAAATATCACCAACCAAGTGGATTCCCTAATTTTCCACAAAGTCATAACACAACTATTTGAGCCGTACTTCGCTGGCAATACCTGAATAATAAATGAAGTAACTAAATAATAACTACAGTGGAACCCCTACTCAATGGCCACATTATGCCTTTTTTTATTCTACATATATCATCTCATTTCCCCTATAACTTACCCTACATTACAGGCAAGTAATGTAAGTCTGAGAGAGAGTATGTTAATTAACAGCAAATTCAACTCTGGTCTTGCTGACCGGGAAGCCTTACATTATTTATGCTGCCAGAGCAAACACTCGGTTTGAAAAGTGGACTGACATAAAGTCCCAGCTAAAAGGAGTTATTTCTCCACAGACAGTAATAACTCTTAAAAGACTCTATTATGAAGAGCAAGGCCAGGGAAGCCGGGTGAGCATTTTTCCTTCAGCATTATTCTTTACTCTCCTTTTGGGATTTCCCAGGAGAGGTGCCTCAGTTCAGACAGCACATTGTGTATTACAAACCAGGGCAGAACTATAGGAAAAGAAAATACAGCTATGAAATATACCACCCCTAGCTTTCTTAGGGAAGAAGGAGCACAGGAAATGAAGGCAAGTTCAAGTTTCTTAACATGACCCTGTAGTGGTCCCCTTGCCTTTGAAAGGCATTTTAAGAAACCGGGTCAACAGCTAACTGCTAGCTAAGCTCCCTCCTCGGCCTGAGCAGCCGCAGGTGCAGTGAGAGGGCTGGCCTCACTCTGAGGAACACACAGGCTCTGTAGTCCCAAAAGGCGGAGCGGAACCCGCTCTTCCTAGGTCACTGCTTGGGGAGCCCTCGTGCCCGACACGAAAGATGCTAATTTGCAGGTCTCTGTGATCTGGCTTGATACAGATGTTTGAAGGGAAAGAAAAGCGGCTGGAGCTGATCCAGGAGCTGCGCACCACCCACGCGCTGCAGGAGGACGACCGGCTGGTGAGGAAAATGGAGAAGCAAGTGACGCTGGCCCTGCAGCGGCAGAGGAACCTGCACGAGCACAAGGTTCTCTCCCTTTCCTTCTTGTTCCATTCTTGTCACGTTTTCTCCCTTGATTTCTACTATTGTGTGAGCAATATTATAATAACAATAAGGGAACTGATGAAAAAGAAGCACCCCCCACAAGGCCGTCCCTCTAGCACAGTCAGCATTTTTAAACAACGCTGCTGAGGTCTATAATTAGAATGGGGTGTGCCCTCACTGCATTGAATATGGTCTTATGTTCCTTATTTGCAAAAAGAAGAAAAAAGAAACCTACATTTTAAAAGGTTTTCCCTTTCATTTTTTCTTAAACATTTGATGACTGTACTATATTTCAGTTAGTGGGAGCTTAGCAGAATGACTAGTAATAAAGACAAAAAGAAAAAAAAAGAAATAGATTTAAATATCAGCACTTATTGAGCTTTGGGGATAAGTCATGCTGGTTAAAACGCATATTAAATATGTTAATAGCTCATGGTATCCTGTGACTTTCATCATGACCTCTGCCTTCTGCTGACCTAATAGCAGCTGGTAATAGCAGCTCTCACCCAACAAGCATAAATGTCTCTCTGTTCTCTTCTGTGCTCATCTCCGTAAGCACCGTTTCTAATGCTGCTGACTACAATGTAGATGCACTTTTCTACCTCTCCCGCTAGCCTGTTAATCCGAGTGGAAAACCATCTGTTTGCACAGTGTTTGGTGCTGTAAGAAAGTGAATTTACAGCAAAGCCGCTATGATCTACCTTTAACTACACACATAACTCTCGTGCTGTATGGGCTTGGGCTCAAATGTTAAGAGGCTTGGAAATGTGCACAACTTTACTTCTTTAATATATTTGATTTTTTTACAGAGAGGGATAGAGAGCTAGAAACACCGATGAGAGAGAATCATTGATCAGCTGCCTCCTGCATCCCCCCCCCCCCCCCCCTCCACTGGGAATGCACCCGCAACCAAGGCACATGCCCTTGACTGGTTTCGAGCCTGGAACCCCTCACTCCATAGGCCGATGCTCTATCCACTGAGCCAAACCGGTTTCGGCACAACTTTACTTCTTTTATGTGACCGCAGGACTGGATGGTCCCTGGGTTTGGGGAGCTCGTGTAGGGGAGAGGGGAATAAATCCACGGGCTGGGAGACCCAACTGAAGGACCAGAGGAGAAGAGAATGTGGGTACAGGAGTCTCTGAGTCTGAGAGGCCTGGGAATGATGGAGACAGGGCTGCACTTTTCTGTTCAGAGAGAGAGCAAATGCCCTGGAAGTGCCAAGTCCCAGGATCTGGGTGGGAAAATGCCCTCTTTGGCCCTTGGAGGTTGCTGATTGTAGACTTTGGCAGATAGACCTAAGCCAACCCAGGCTTTTCAACTCTATTCCATTTAGTGGACATATACACTGAGTGGCCAGATTATTATGATCTCTGAACACATAATAATCTGGCCATTCATTATGTGTGTGTGTGTGTGTGTGTGTGATATATATATATATATATATATATATATATATATATATATATATATATATGACATGGGTGGTTGGCCGGCCTGCCTGCTGGTTGAACTCCTGGTGGAGGGGACAATTTGCATGTTAGCTTTTTATTATATAGGATATACACTGAGTGGCCAGATTATCATGTGTTCAGAGACCATAACAATCTGGCCACGCAGTGTACCTGACTGATATCATGTCAGCTAAGAGAGGAGGTAGTGGGAAGAGCTGTCATGCAGCCAAAGACTCACCCTGCTTACCTTCCACCGTACTAAACACACTGGTGATGTGCAGGGGTCAGATGGAGCGGGCACCTCATGGATACCTCTCCTTTTTTCCTCTTACATTTTCTGTGGAAAACAATCCAGAAAATGCACAGCTCCCAATTATGTAGTGTATTACGTGATGTGACTGCAATGGAATCACCTTGCTAAATATATTTTTTATTTAATCTTCAAATTAAAATTTACTACCAGAGCATACCTTTCTTGTTGAGGGAGATTAGACATGAACAGGATTTAAAATCTCAGGATTTTAAAGGTTGTCTTACTCTCCCCCCAAGCCCCACCCCCTAACACACACACACACACACACACACACACACAGAAGTGAGATAGCTGTGATCCCTGGAGATGAGGAGGAAATCTGTTTGTGATCTCTAGACTGAATGATGGCTGCTTACAAATGTTAGGAGTAGTGAGACTCTTGCCCGTTCTTTCCACCTCTCTTACTGTGTAATTAAAGCTGGACTTTGTGGTTAGAAGGTAGATGTTGGCTGGGCAGTGGGTAAGGATGAGGATGAGTGTGTTGGACTAACAACTACACTTGATTGACAGTCTCACCCAGTAGCCACCTTGGAGATCTGTGCAGATTTCCTCTATTCAAATATGAACCAGAGGGGAAGTGAGCACAGAGGCCAACTGTCAGTATTAAAGTAACATGTGCCTGGGAGTATAGCTCTTCCCTTTATACTTGAGAATGGGAGAGGGAACAGGTGGGAGTGGCAAAGGATACTGTCCTTTAAATGCCTTTATTCTCCTCCAGAGGCCCAGTGCACGAATTCCTGCCCCAGTGGGTCCCGCCGCCTGGCCTGCGGGTTTGGGCCAAAACCAGCTCTCTGACATCTTCCAAGGGATCCTGGATTGTGAAAGGGCGCAAGCCAGGCCAAGGGACCCAACAGATGTTTTATCAGGGCCAAGGAAGGATTGTGGGAGGATTCTGGGGTATGTCTGGCCTGTCTTGCTCAGTCCTGATTGGCCAAACCTCAGCAGCAAGCTAGGGTGGAGCATCTGCTCCCCCTACCCTCCATGTGAGTACATGTCATAGTGAGTGTTTGAGTGGCCTTAGCATATCATTACCATATTACATTTTGATTGGTTGAACAGCTGGCAGATCGACCAGACACTTTAGCATATTTGGCTTTTATTATATAGGATGTGTCAAGGCCAGAACAGATAGACACTGTGGCTTATTCCTGGCCAAGAACTCTAGGCCTTTATTTTACCTTAAGAATCATATAGACATGTATTTTTCCTGCTCTATTTCAAAGATAGTTGTTAATGACTTTGAAGTTATTGTTTTCTACTTTCATGTTATTCAAGATCTTAAAATTTCCCCAAACTTATGTTAAAGGATGAGGCATTAAGAAAATAAAAAGGTATCATAAGTGAATTTTTAGGAGATTCTATTTTTTTAAACTCCATTGCTATCTTTAATAAAACCCTTGACATTTCTCTTCCTGTCTTGGAATTCATAGCACTTTATTTGGATAAAATTGAGCCCAACTGTCAAGGCTCAGTGATTGAGCATTGACTTATGAACCCGGATTCTCAGTCAGAGCACATGCCCAGGTCGTAGGCTCGATCCCCAGTTTGTAGTGTGCCAGAGGCAGCCGATCAATGATTCTCTCTCATCATTGATATTTTTGTCTCTCTTTCCCTCTCCCTTCCTCTCTGAAATGAATAATATATATTTTTAATTGAAATTTAGCTCTTTTTTTTGTTAGTGTTAATCCTCACCCAAGGATATATTTCCATTGATTTTTAGAGAGAGTGGAAGAGAGAGGGAGGGAGGGAGTGAGGGAGGAGAGAGAGAGAGAGAGAGAGAGAGAGAGAGAGAGAGAGAGAGAGAGAGAGAGAAACATCGAAGTGAGAGAGACACATCGATTAATTGCCTCCTCATGCTATGACCAGGTTCAGGGCTTGAGCCTGCAACCCAGGTATGTGCCCTTGACTGGAATCAAACCTGCAATTCTTCAGTCCCTGGGGCAACGTTCTATCGCTGAGCCAAACTGACTAGGGCTAAACTTGAAATTTTTTTAAAAAAATGCATCCTGTGTAGACACCAGCAGATTTCTTTGCTAAATCCTCTTTATAACTTGAGGACTATAAGCCTACAGTGACTGACGGAACAATCTGCTTATGTCTAAGATTGTATCATAAGTTTTCCTAGTTGACGGAACCCTTAGAATGGGGCCAGTCTAGAGAGAATATTCCTAATAAAAACCAAGTGCAGTCTGAAAATAAAGTTACTCTCAAGAGTTCTGGGTAACCCAGCCTTCCTCGTCCTAAATCCCCATTTTCAGTGGAACTTGTATCCTTAAGATGACATTATTTTTAAGGTGTCGCTAATTGAAAACCATCTGGCCGGACTGGAAGGAAGGGCGCTGGCAGACATGTTCGACTTCCTGTCCAAAGAGCTGGTGAGACTCCAGGAAGAGAGGAGGATCCACGCCTTTGCCATGCTGGCCGAGCGGCAGCGGAGGATGCGGGAGGCCGAGGAGAGTGGCCGGCGCCAGGTGGAACAGAGGCGCCTGCGGGAGGAGGACGAGATATTTAAGGAGGCAAGTGAGGGCAGCGGGACATCTGGAAGCTGTTTGTAAGGAGCAGAGTCAAACCGAAGGAAACTTAAGAAATGAAATGGCTTTTGTTTTGTAATTTTCATTGTATTCAACAAGTGTATATTGAGGTCCTGCACAGACACACATTTCCTCATTAACGCACGCATGTACAAGCACAATGTGTCCAGAACCTTACATGTTTGTAAAGATATACAGAAACACACAAGTATATTTATTACTACAGGTGGAACACAGTAAACTTCCCAACCCTGGACTCTCATAAGACTCAGCTAATTGTTCCATAAGTCCAACTTGATTCCCAGGAAGACTCTGGCTCCCTAGAACAGGCATGCTGTACATCCCGTGGTGCCTCCCATCCCACCAGCATAGATCACTGTGTACAGTAGACATTGAGCAAATCTATTTTGACTTGAGGCCCGATGCACGAAATTCATGCAAGAGTAGGTCTTCCTCCCCCCAGCTGCCGGCACCAGCTTTCCTCTGGCACCTGGGACCCGGGCTTCCCTCGCAGGCCAGGCTTCATCCAGAAGGTCCTCTGGAAGGATGTCTGGTCTAATTAGCATATTACACTTTTATTATTATTGGTTGGTTGCTTGGTTGACACTGAATTAAGATGGTCATTTGGGGTCTCTCGCAGGGAAGACACAGGGATTCATTTATGGATTTGGTGTTTTACAAGTAGTTATAGTGCCAGTCAAGAAACAGGTGCTGAGTCCCAAGATACACAGAAATATCCAGACATGAAATAAAAAAAAGTACCCTTCTCCAAAGAAGCTGAAAATCTGTTGAGATAGAATAGGTACAAAACTAAGGATGCTGCACGTGATGCTTCCTGTGTATCTACCTGTGAAATAGGCAAAACCAAACTATTAGTGTGGTTCCTACTTAGGGAGCAAAACTGTAAGAAAAGGAAAATGTTTGCTGTAAAATTGTGAGGGGGAAGGGGACTGTGGTCAGGAAGAACCCTCGGCAGTCTCCTGGGATACTGGCAATGGCTGATGGGTGCTGGCTTTCCTATGATTCATTACATGTACATTCATTCACACTTGTCTGCAGGTGTTTTCTGTTTCATAGTTTGAAGAAAGCTTTAGAAAGAAGCAATGTAGATGGATAAGATGGCTCAGAGAGTTCATCACAGATCCAGGATCCCTCTAGCTTTCTGTCCCTAAGGCCTGGCCCTCATGGCGGTTTAAGATGACTTCTGGTGCTCCACATCATGTCCCCATGAAATGAGGAAGGAGAAAAGGGGGGGAAATAAAGCTAGGTCTTTCCTTTTAACAATCCATTCTGGAAAGTGCCTGCATCACTTATGCAGGCACTCCCTTGGCTAGAACTATGGGTGCTAGGAAGTGCGGTCTGTTCTAGGGACCTATTGGCTCAGCTAAAACCCAGAGGTTCTATTATTGAAGAGGAAGGACATTGGGAAATGCCTTAGTCTCTGCCACAGTTAGGTAGTGGATGTAGGAACATAGCCGGAATCCAGGATCTTCTTGCTATGTGTAGTGTCCACCCCCGAGGAAAATACACAATTCTAAAATGGGTTAGAAAGGGTAGAAAGGTGGGTTAGAAACAGATGGTCTAGAAAAAAGTAGAAAAAAAGGAACAATCAATGAAGGGACTTAACGAACCTCAGTAAATGAGCTAAAAAAAAAAGTTACCAATGTTCATTTTTCTTGTCTTGTTTATATTAGTATTCCTGTTCTCAGTAACTGTGGGCATTTGGTTTTTTTTCCAGGTGGTTAAAGTTCACCAGAGTACTATATCTTCATATCTGGAAGACATAATTCTGAACACCGAAGCGAATACTGCAGAAGAACAAGCCAGGGCGGAAATTGAGAAGATGGCTCAGGAAATCAATGACATTGCTTATGAAATGGAAAACCGGTATGTGCCAAGAGAATGGATGGCAGCATAGAGAGCCCACTTGCTGGTACTTAATATGTACTTTCCAGGAGCTTAAGAGTTCACCACCAAGGAAACACAAGTATATAGCTCATGTGTCAGTGCCCATTGTTTTATTATTATTAGCATAACGCTTTAGAAGCTGACATGCGTTAGAAGCTCTGCATGGTGGGAGCCCTGGGAATAGAAGTCTCAGCAGCCTGGTTCCCTTTTACATTACTTGCTTTAGAATACCTCAAAGCATGGAAGACATGTGAATAAGTGATTGCACCACTACTTGGACTCCGCCCCGCGGTGTGTGGCTCCCATGTATAAGCTGTATTTCTAACATTCCCCTCCTGGCTGGCAGGGTACATGAAGGGCGGGGCCAATCTGACTTTTCCATGGGGTTAACCAAGCTCACCGGGAATGTGATATTTCAGATCACTTAACCAAAGGAGAGGCGATGGTGGAGTTCCTTCACCAGTCAGGAGGATCCAAGGACAGCCACAAAGAAAGTTTAATTTGTTTATTTTTTAGTCGAACTCAGCTTCAGTCAGAGGAGATTGTTGCCGAGTTGGTTTATAGTTTCCTGATCCCAGAGGTGCAAAAGGACTTCGTCAAAGAAAAAGGTAAGCCCGTGCAAACGCCTCACTTTGTGACTTTTTAAAAAGATAAACTCTTTCACTATCTTACAGATTTAACACTGAGCAGCAGTATGGGGAAATTTCTGAAGGAGAATCACTGGGCTTTCTTATTTCAGAGCTTGTCCAGCTCTCTTCCTGCTGATTCCAGATACACGCACCTCTAGTTAGATGGGCAACGTTCTTATAAGCGTGGCCAAGCATCCAGATCCAACCCTCCTTTGAGAGGGAGTTCCCATGTTCCAGAAGAAGTATATTTTGTGATTTGATTTTTTAAAAACATAAAGTAAATGTTGCAAATATGTGGGATTTTCTAAATGAAGCAGCCTGTGGAGGCAGGGCACATGCAAGGTGGCTGTTGAATGCCGGGGTGGTGGGGGGGCCTGAAGGGTCTGACACTGCTCTGCTGCTCCCCTGCGTCACGGATGCCTCCTGTGGCTGCAGGTCCGAATGGCAGAATAAATACCCTCAGATGTCACGTGTCAACAGCGGGTGTTTTGGAGGATGGATGCCTTTAGTAAACAGATAAGGAGAAAAAAGTGTGTCTCAAAAAAAGAATATTCTTTTGGAGCTTTCAGACTATTGGTGACAGACCCGATCCCAGAGGGAGGGGTGCAGCCAGAGGTCAATACTTAAAGTGAAATAACATCTGAGTAGGTGTCAGAGTTATTAAGGGGGATTCTGGACAAGTTTAAGAGAAGTGTAGTATTTTAGGTCATTTAACCAGGATAAAGGAATGATGGGGGGGGGGGGTTCATGAATTTGAAGAGAACAAAAAAATACCTTATTTGCCCATTATATGACTGCAGTATAATTTCTTAAACCAGTACTCTCTTGGATAAGCATTTAGCTCCTTTCCAGTGTGTTTTTCTATAAGTAGTGGTGCTGCAGTCAGTATATTTTACACATGTCCTGGTTGTGCTGCTGAGAGTAAATTCCTAGCAGTGAATAAGGAATGTGAATTTTACATTTCGATAGGTACTACCAAATTGCTTCACAGAAAGATTGTTCTAACTCATATTCCCACCAGCAGCATACAGTAGCGCCCATACGAGCAAAATTTAATTTTCAGGTAATAAATAATTCTGTGTTACCTTACTTTATAAAAGGGATGTTGTGTTATCTAGATCCTTAAGAAAATATGCTACTCCTTTCTACTTCTCTGAGTTCCCAAGTGAGGTCAGCCTGTGTCAGATAAATCCTACCCCAGGGAATCCAAAGAGAGGGGAAAACTGTATTTATCAGTTACTCCTTTGTGACCCCCTCCTCCAGCTTCTCCTGGCTCTGAGGGAAGGAGCTGGAGGGGGACTTGAGCTGAAGGAATCCAGTTGGACTTGTTTGTAAGCACACTGGACAAATCCTTAGCTTCTTCACTTTATATATTTTAAAATACTTCTTTTTAATTGATGAGAGAGAGGAAGGGGCAGAGAAAGAGAGAGAGAGAGACATAGATTTGTTGTTCCACTTATGCATTCATGCATTCATTGGTTACTTTTTGTATGTGCCCTGGCTAACTGGAGATTGAACCCACAACCTTGACAGATGAGGACGATGCTCTACCCAACTGAGCTCCCCAGCCAGGGTGGCCTCCTCTCTTGATGTGCATCAAATCAAGAAAACCTTATGGACAGGGGGCACGTACTGGAACCTTTGTTTCTCTTTCCGAATAAGGGAGCCATATGTATTATATGTACTCTTGACCCCAATTTAAGATATTATATGCAGTCCATTTTGAGATATATATATATATATATATTTTAGTTGAGGGATGGGAAATACCTGAAGAGACCTGTATATAGGTGTAAAATAACAGTAACTACCAAATTTTAAATGCTTCTAAGTTCTAGACAAGGTACTAATCATGCTTAAAAGTACCTGATCTAAATTTCTTACAACAGCTGTAGGTGTGTTCTCATTATTCAGTTAAGGAACTTAGTACTTAGACACATTGCAGGTTTGAACCATGATCTATGTGGCTCCAAAGTCCCCCTACTTTGGGGCATGTTACTGAGAAGTGCTACAGGTTGCTGTGTGATTTACCCTGTATAAATTGGACGGTTACCCGAAGAGCATAGAATCCACAGGACTCCTTACTGCCCTTTGCTAGCTATATGACTTTGGCAGATTACTTAATCTTTCTGTGTCTCAGTTTCTTCATCCGAAAATGGGGATATTAATAAAACTCTCTTTTAGTGTTGTGAGGTTTAAATGAATAATTATATGCCAACTGCTTAAAACAGTGCCTGGCATAAAATAAGGACAAATGCTGAATGCTAACATCATCATCAACATCATCATGATTACTCCTTTGCAAGGGGAATGGGATGTTTAATGTACTAAGCTTTGATGATAAACATTCTTAAGTGTGTGGTGCTAGGACCACCTTCTAACGCCATGAGCTTCCATATTAGAAACTGAGGCTCAAAGGGCAGTATGGGGCACCTTACCTTTAAGTCATTTATGATCTTTGTGTTATAAAATTTGCAATTCTGATGCAAAATTATCATTTCTATCACAACTGTCTTGAAAACATGTGAGAATGAATTAGCTCAGACTTTCAGAGTAAAAATTCTTTTGTCACTTGGCACAGTGAGGAACGCACAGCGGAAGCATATTCTTGCAGCCCATCAGATAATCCACGGGTACACAGGAGACATGCTTGCAAGGGACTTTGCTGAGGAACCACAAGATGAGGACTCAGACATTGACGAGTTCCTTAAGTAAAAACCCCAAAGTGAGAAAGACAGCTAAGGTGAGTTTGATTTTTCCATTTGGAAGGAAATAGAGAGGAGGGAACATAGCATTATTCATATATAATAATAAAAGCATGAAATGCAAATCAGCCAAATGGCAGAACAGCTGAACGACCGTCTGGACAACCACACTATGACACCAGGCCAGCCAAGGTGGGTGCGATGCCACTGGTTGGGGGCCCCGCCATTGCCCCATGATCACCTCTCGGAGCTCCATGACCCATCGCCCCCCGGAGGGAGGCCCAGGCTACCTGGCCCGCGGCGCTGTGTTGGGTGAGCGGGGCCTCCCTCTGTGGGGCATCGATCAAGGGATTCCCAGACCTTGAGCAGGTACAGGCCGGGCTGAGGGACCTCCCCCATTCCTCCCCCCAGTGCATGAATTTTGTGCACGGGCCTCTAATACTCTAATCATCATCATGTGAAAAGATTGCCCATTGTTTAAGAAGATGAAATACTTAAATCGGCATATTCCATCTAAGATATGGAATATGCTATTGAAATGTAAAAGAATATAGTAGATATTAGAGCAGCTGGACTCTTGTGACCAGAAAACGGGACTCGGGATTATTTTTATGATTTCTTTTAGCGTGTGACTGTACTTATCACAAATAAAGCTGGAAAAAAAAAAAGAGCTTGTTCTCATGGAGGTTCCCCTATTGCATTGTGCCAGTTGTAAGCATAGCACAAGGCACAGCCTGCCTGATTCCAGCTCAGATGCCTTCTGCAATGTCCACCAGGGGTTGGGTTTAGGCTCAACTAAATAGTCACATGCATGGACTAACATGGACCACGTTTGATAGGATTTGTGTATCAGTATACTCAGCAAGATACAAGGCAGGAACCACAGCGTCCAGCAGAGGCTCAGGCAGTTCTCTTCCTGTGGGAGCTCTTGTGTAGCCACACAGAAGAACACAGCCACATTCTTTAGCCCCCAGGTTACATAGTTCAGGGACAAGGAAAAGAGATTCACATTAAGTGGGTGCAGGAGTTGTCTGGTTTACGTGCCCCAGGGCCAGTATCGCTTGCAATAATTCCACAGGCAGAGTTTCCAGGGTCCCCAATGGATTTGCCCAGTTACAAAAGTCAGCACACTCAGGGAAACTCAAAGCTACAGTTTCCTATTCAGTATTAACAATTCACTTATAACCCTTCCCAGTAAGATTCTAGTTACCACTCAGGGTCAATTTTGCCTCAAGTAGTGTTGGTAAATTCCTGACACATATCCCCTATCAGATTACTAGGAGAACAGAGCTAAAGAGTCAATTGAAACTAAAATTCTCATGAAAAGGGAAAATGGAGTGAACCCTTTGCCTCTATCTTCTCCCTCACCCTCCCATGGCAGAGGCACATCATTCGCTGTTGGGCCTGAGGGTATGCTGTCAGGTTAGGGAAGGAGCCAAAGTTTAGGGGGGAAATTGAGCCTCGTGGTCAGAAGGATTGGGGGTTGGCCATCTCTGCCACCAACTGTAGAATCTTATACAATTAATTTCTTCTCACTTGAGGCATGCTCATGCTCATGTGACTGAGAGACCCTCTTGGGGGAATCTGCTGGGACTTTAAGTCTTAGTAAAAGAGGGTCATGGAAGGAGGGTTGAGATGAGAGGGCAGAGAAGAAAAAAAGCAGAAGAAAAACTGATAAAGGACTCTTAAATATCAGGCTGTGGATATCATTATAGCAGAAAAGCTTTTTTTATTTTTAATATACTTTTATTGATTTCAGAGAGGAAGGGAGACATAGAAATATCAATGATGAGAGGGAATCATTGATTGGCTGCCTCCTGCACACCTCCCACTGGGAATTGAGCCCACAACCAGGCATGAGCCCTGACCAGGATTCGAACAATAACTCGCTGGTTTACAGGTTGATGCTCAAATATCGAGTCACACAAGTCAGACAGTAAAGCTTTTTTTTTTTTTTAATTAATAATGAAATAACCTCTGAAATCATTGAAGATATAATCCATATATTTGTATGCATGTTATATGCTATCTGCATAATATAAATTCAAGGACCAAAGCATTTTGACTATCATTATTGTGATAAAAGTCAACCTTGTTGTTGGGATAGTCATTTTTCTTAAATGTAATGAGATTAATAACTTACATAGTTGAATTGAATACATCCGAATTTACTTCTTAGCATAACACACCTGTTCTATGACATCCATGGTGATCTGTGAAATCAAGCCACAGGAGTGTTAAAATGATTTTTTCCTTTATGCTTACTGAAACTAAAATACATTTTATTGAAACCCATTATAGTTATAAAGTATAGTTAAAAACATAGTCGCCAAGCTATTGTAAATAAATACACTCAGCAAGAAAGAGCAACCAATAAATGAATAAAGTATCTTCTTAACACTCGATTGAATGTTTGGAACATGATGCCTAATGGCCCCCATTGTATATATTTCTCCTTCTTCCTTCTCTCAGAGGGAAGATGGGGAGGACAGCTGAGAGATTTTAATAATGCTGAGAGAAAGGGGCAGTAGGCATGGACCACTGATTAACATTTTTTAAACCAGCTTGAAGACAATAAAGAGCTAATAAAGTAGTGAGGAATTTCTGGGCAGAAATTTAGGAGAAGACAAATTCAGAGCATTGGCGCTGGCCTTTGGAGTCACTTTTTTTTTAACCAGAAGGAGTATGCAACTTCTTAAAAAAACATGTGGCTGAAAGACTTAACAGTGCTTTTACCAACTTTGTCAAACTAGGAGGACAAAAATCTGGAGTCAACATTGTGGCTCTGGTGACTCCTCCATCTGGGCTGGGACTCGGAAGGGCTGTGCCATGGTAGTAAGGTTGCTTGGGTGTAGAACAAGCATGTCAGACTCGCAGCCCGCTGGCTGAATGTGGCCCACAACACATATTTCTGCGGCCCAGCCAATGTGACAGTATGTAAAAAACGTTTTAATAAAAATTTCATAACTTCATTTTTACAAGATCCTGTTATACATAATTATTAGTAATGAACTACAACTTTCGCTAAGGACTGATTACTATAATCCTGTTGCATTCATTTCCCTTTCACACCTTACATGCAGGCGCACAATATCTCTCCACTAATATTAGCAGCGCATATTTTAGCAGCCCATTGCCACGTCATTAGTCTTGTACTGACTTGTTTGGTGTGCAAAACAGGAAATATTTTGCTTTTGTAGAACAAGAAAAATAGGTTTGTTTGGGTTACACTTATTAATTTGTGCAGTTATTCAGTGTCTGGTAAGTTAATGTTCAAGAAAAAATATTAATTTTTATTAAAATGTTCTATTATTTTATGTTAACAATTATTCATTTATTTCAGCCCTTTGTATTCAGCATGTCCCTATCAAAATAAACTTACGTTTCTATGAAAATTTAAGCTTTTGGGTGTTTTTTTCCCCCACATAAACTTAAACCTTGTTTATTTGGCCCGTGTTAGCCTTTGAGTTTGACATGCTTGCTGTAAACTCTCCCTCTCACAGACTACAGTTCAGCTCCTAATCATTTGAATGAGCCAAAAAATATCTCAACCCCAGAAATTAAATTAAAGAGATTTTAAAATAATTATGCATAATGCTTCGGATTTCTAGTCTTCAGAATTGTGAGAAAATAAATTTCTGTTGTTTAAGCTTCTCAGTCTCTGGTGTTTTGTTAGGGCAGACTACTCTGAGCCAGGTTTTGATCTCAGGAGTGGAGTGTTGCCACAACAAATACTTAACATGCGGCTTTGGAACTAGATAACGGGAAGAGTTGCAAAGTGCATGCTGGAGATACTCATGGCAATTCTGGTAAACTTTCAGACAGAAGTGAGGAATGTGTTACTGGAAAGCAGAGGAAAGACAATCCATGTTATAAAGTAGAGAAGAAATTAGCTAAACTTTGTTCTGTTTTATTGCAAGCAATGAAATTGGATGACTAGCTGAGAAGATTTCCAAACAAAATGTTTAAGGAGTTGGTTTCTTCTGGCTGCTTATAGTAAAATGTGAAGGAAGAGAGATGAAGAAGAAATTGCTAAGCAAAAAGGAGCAAGAACTTGAAAATTCAGAAAATTCTTAACCTATCTGTATATCAAAACATAAAGTATATTCTGAAAAGAACACTCAGAATGTGGCTGAACCGCTATTTGATAGAGAGCTTATGGGAACTGAAAGCGCTGGAGATGGTAAGAAATGAAGGAAGGCTGTCATGCTTCTTGGATTTGACCAGATGAGACAATACAGTTATTATGCTCCAAATGTGCACAATTCTTCAAGAGACAAAAATATCCTGGAAGGAGATTTAAAATTAGGGCCACTGGCTCAGTTTCAACAGGTCAGATGACCTCTGCCGAGAACTTTAAGATGGGACCACCATAGGACCTTACCCAAGGATGCACTGAGAGCCGTGGGGATGGCACACCGTAGAGATGAAGGGGTGGGGTCACCCTACATGGGAGTACTTGGGCCATGCTAGTGACCTGGAAGCTGGGACATGAGCTAAAAGATCAGTCACAAGCTTTACGCTCCAGTAGAATTTGTGTGGCTAAGCTTTGAACTTGCATGGGACCCATTCCTTTTTCTTCCTTCCCACTTCTCCCTTTTTAGAGTGAGAATATATCCTGTGCCTGACCCACCATTATATTTTGAAGCACATAACTTTTCTCATTCACAGTTGGAGAAGATTGTTGCCTCAAGATGAGTAAAACCTTGAGACATGTAAATTAGATGATATTGAAATTAGATATTGGACCTCAGAATTTAGAATTGATGTGCAGATGAGTTAAGACCTTGGAGCTGTGGGGATGGAATGAATGCATTTTGTATGTTAAGGATGTGAATTTGGGGGATGGGTATGGAAAGCTCTGCACTGAATTGTGTCATCCCCAGATTCATATGCTGAAGCCCTAACTCCAAGATACTGATGTTTGGAAACGAGGCGTGTGATAATGAGATAATTAAGATTAGATGAGATCATGAGGGTGAGTCCCTCGTGATGGGTATAGTGTCTTTATTAGAAGAGACACTAGAGTTTGCTCTCTGACTTTCTCTGCCATGTGAGGCCATAGCTAGAAGGCAGCCATCCGAAAAATGTTTCATAAAGCAGTGTCAGCCATTTCAGAGTTGAAATGATGCAGTGTGATAAAAATGCAATGAAATTGGAAATCAATGACAAGATAATTCTAATATGTTTGGAAGTTTAGAAATGTAGGTGTAAATAATCTCTTCATCAAAAAAGTCAGAACAGCCCTAACTGGTTTGACTCAGTGGATAAAGCATCGTCCTGAAGACTGAAGGGTCCTGGGTTCGATTCCATTCAAGGGCATATGCCCGGGGTTGTTGTGGATCCCTGGTGGGGGTCCTGCAGGAAGCAGCTAGTTGGTAGTTCTCTCTCATCATTAATGCTTCTCTCTCTCTTTCTCTCTCTCTCCCCTTTTTCTCTTTCCCTTCCTCTCTGAAATCAATAAAGTGTATATATATTTAAAAGTGTCAGAACAGAATCTAGAAAATATTTTGAACTGAAGAATAACAAAAATGCTATGTATGTATCAAACTTGTGGAATGCTGCTAGTGTAGCACTTACACAGAAATTTGTAGTCTTGGAAGTATTTATTAGAAAAGACTAAGCATCCTCTTTAAGAAAGAACAGCAAATTAGAGGCAAAAAAAAAAAATGTAAAAGGAAGGAAATAACAAAATAAAAATAACAGAAATTAACCTGTTAACCGGGGAGTTCCCTTTTTAATTACGCAACGGGCGCATACTCTTTCACTAGGACGTGTCAGTACGTCACTCCCAGTGGACATAATTTTATATTGTTTTTTTATTTATACTTAATTAAAATAAATGAAATATATATTTTTTGTTTATTTATATATAAAGTACAAAGGAAAATACAAAATTACAAACAAATAGAAAAGAATACCAACAAAAAAAATGGAAACATTGAATTAAAAAATTATAAATTTTACAAACAATTATAAAGATTACAAAATATTTTTTTTTATTTCTATACACAATAAAAAAATTAAAAAGTTAACAATTACAGAACAATAAACAAAAGCACACAAATAAAATAGAAATATTGAGTTTAAAAAATTGAAATATAGATGTAAAAATTTAAAACTCAACTTCCATGTGATATATTTTAAAACAATTGTTGATACATAGTGCTACCTTACAATCCGGACACCAGTATGTAGATTCTTTCCTAACACCTTTTTGTAGCAAACTTGACATTTCCTGGATTTAGTTTTTCCTATATCGCTTTTCTTCTGTTCTGGAAAATGCCTTTCAACTAAGCGTGATGGTTTACATGTAGAGCTGCTTGTTGATGTCTTTGGGTGGGTTTTCACTATGTTGTTATCTACCAATTTCTCTACACACTTTATCAAAAGCTGTAATTGATCCAAATGACCTTTATCTTTTTTGTATATAATATATGCATTGAAGCAGCACATATCAATTAATCGTAGAAAATTTTTTAATAAAATTTCTTTACCCTATTACGGGCAGCCGTGTAGGCCACCATAACTCCATCTCCCAAATCTACGCCGCCCATATTCTTGTTATAATCCAGGACAACATTCGGTTTTTCTTGCCTTCTTCCTCTCTTTTCAATCATTGTCTTTTCGTCATTATGAATAGAACTGAGCATCAATACGTCTTTTTTATCCTTCCATTTTAAAACCATAAGTTTGTCTTTGAATCTTACCATATGTTCATTTTTCTGTAATTTTTTTGTTTTTATTTCACTGGGGATTATGACTCTGTTTATCCTCATTGTTCCAACAATGTCTGTATTGTTTTGACACAAGAGTTCAGCCAAATGAATTGACATATAGAAATTATCTAAGTAAATCCTATACCCTTTATTCAGTAAGCCATGTGTTAGCTCCAAAACAATTCTTGTTGATTGTTTTTCTTGTGGGTAGTTCGAACCATAATTTGTGTCCTTGCCTGTGTATAAAATTATATTTTGTACGTATCCAGATTGGCTTTCACTCAAAATAAACAACTTCATTCCAAATCTAGCTCTTTTTGTAGATATATATTGTTTCCAAGATAAATTCCCTTTCCATAATAAAAGAGATTCATCTACGCATATTTCTCGTTCACATACATAAAAACTTTTAAAATTTTCTTACAAATTATTGATGATTGGATCAATTTTATATGTTCTTTTATTATATAAAGGTTGGAGATATAAAAAATATAAGTAAATAACATAATACGAAAATAGGTAGGTAAGTGTAAGTACGTACCCGTCACTGCTCACCCAGAACACGTCCACCACTCTCAATAGCGAAATTATACTGATTCCCTCCGTGTCTTAAAATCATGTGGAGACATGTATGGATGACTAATACCTTTGTTGTTCGGAAATATACGTCCCACCTGTTTCAGGGTGCAACATATATTTCAAGGACATATTCATATGTCCTACCCGTACCTGATATTGTTTACGTTTGACGTATTTATACGTCCCGCTCAGTTAACAGGTTAATAAAACAGAAGATAGACATGTCTTCTGATTCTAGGTAGGATGTAGTAGGTAGCTGCAATAACAAAAAAATAATGGGCACACTGTAAGTGTCATATTTCCGAAGGCGCTGGAGAGCTGGGGAAACAAGGGGACTAGATGCACTCAAGTGGCGGAGGGGAAAGAGTCCTTCCTAAGTGATCTGAGGTCGCTGGCCACGGCTGGAGGAAGGCTCAGGGACTTCACTAGCGGAATGGTGATCTGCTTTATAGACCTCCTGAGCCGTCAGAAGCTAGAAGATGTCTTGAGCTGATGAACACAGTACAATATACAGATGAGATATTATTGAATTGTACCCCTGGAACTTATATTCTTTTATTAACCAGCGTCACCCCAATAAATTCAATAAAAAATACAATACAATATTTAAAAAGGAATCCTTTGTATATTATTCTAGTCCCATTTAAAAAAAAAAAAAAAAAAAAAAAAAGGAGAGGGGATTAGGACACAGACAAAGCCCAGATCAGGAGGTGGCCACGGGAAGGTATAGCAAGAAGCAGCCTCTGCAAGCCAAGAAGAAAGGCCTCAGAAGGAACAAACTTCCTGGAACGTTGATCTTGGACTTACAGTCTCCAGAACTGAGAGAAAATAAAGTTGTTATTTAAGCTGGCCAGTCTGGGGTATTTGTTAAAGCATCCCTGGCTAACAAACTACAAAATTTAAAAGAAAAAGTTAAAGCAGAGAGATAAATTGAAGAAGGAATTGTTAAGCAAAAAAAG